GCAATTCTTGGTTGCTACTGTATGGCTTTCTGAAACTTCTTTGAGAAGAACACACAGTCAGGAAGCGCTCCAAAGACAGCTAAAAGAAAATTGTTTGTGATTGGAATCTATATGTGGCGCTCAACAGTGCCATTAAGCAGCTAGCTGGAAGGGTAATGTGGGTTTTTTAAGCATAAAACAAGTGCTTAGAATCATATTGAATATTTCTAACAAGATAGGATCAAAAACTTTGTCCAGAAGAATCACACACACACCAACGCTCCTCACACAAAATCCAAGGTCACAGTCACTTTCATTCACTCAAACAAAATCACAACGTAAAACGACACATTTTCAGTGTACCACACCACCACGAAGAGAAGTATTAAAATCAGAGATTAAATAGGGACAAAGACAAATAATAAGGATCAAGTTAACTCTCTTGAACCGACCACCACCTACAACCAACAAGAGCGCGTACACAACTACAAGTTGACACCAATCCTCCGACGAAAGCTCAAGTCTTGAATGCAATCAAGCTTCTGAAAGCTGGAAAAGCAGCTGGACTAGATGAAATACCCCCTGAAACACTGGAAGCGGACCCAGAAACTACAGCAGACATGTTGACTCCATTATTGCAAAAGGTCTGGAAGGAGGGAAAGGTGCCTACTGACTGGAGGAAAGGTTACCTCGTGAAACTACCAAAGAAGGGCGACTTAGGACTCTGCAAGAACTGGGGAGGAATCATGCTCCTGTCGATGCCAAGTGAAATCTTGAGTCGGACCATCCTGGAGAAAATGAAGGACGCACTGGATACAGAACTCCAACTAGAACAAGCTGGATTCAGGAAAGGCAAATCATGTTCGGACCAAATGGCAACTCTACGCATCATCATCATCATCATCGAACAAAGCATGGAATGGCAATCAAACCTAACTCTACGTCAACTTTACAGACTTTGAGAAGGCCTTCGACAGGCAACGGTGATCGCGAAATAACTTGGAAACTACTCGAGTATTACGGCGTACCCCAAATATTCATCAACCTTATTCAACAGCTGTACGACAACGGCACATGTCAAGTGATCCAAAACGGAAAACTCAGTGAGGCGTTTAGAGTAAACACAGGAGTCAGGCAAATCCAATGATATTCCTAATTGTGGTGGACTGGATTATGCGTCAGACAGTGGGAAACGAGAAGACAGGAATATCCTGGACCGACGTCATGAACCTAGGAGACCTGGATTTTGCGGATGATTTATGCTTGATTTCATACAAAATCGAAGACTTACAAGCGAAAACCGACAAACTGGTCGAAGAAGCAGCCAGCGAAGACAGAACTCCAAGTGAACATAGACAAGCTGGAGGTTGTGAAAATAACCAACCAACAACAACAACAACAACAAAAACAGCAGCAACATCCAGTGCCAATCACCATCAACGGGAGGGATTTGATGAAAGAGGTTACTTGATTTACTTACCTAGGGAGCATTGTCTCAACTACAGGCAGTCGGAGCGGACTAAGATGTCAAATCAAGCGAGAATCAGGAGGGCGAGAAACACATTCATCAACCTGAAACAACCAATCTGGAAATCTTCGTCACTCAGCCAGCATCAACAACAAAATTCGGTCGGATTTTCAATACAAACCACGTCAAGTCAGTCAGCTCTTCTATACGGATCAGAAACTTGGCGGGCGGGTCACAAAGAATATTTCCAACAGCCAGTTGCAGACCTTTATCAACCAACAACTGTCTTCGCTGGCTCTATACTCAAGATCAGATGGCTGGGCCGGAATCACCAACAAGAAACTATAGGGACAAACAAAACAAGAACCAATCGCCCAACAAATATGCAGAAGAAAGTGGAGATGGATTGGACACTCGTGGCTGAGGAGGCCGGTGGGTAACATCGCGCGCGCATCAGGCCACTGCTCGAGTGGAACCAGGCCGAAAGGGAAGCGGCGAGTGGGTCGTCAGTGCAAACGTGACATGGAGGAGATCGTGTGAAGAGGAGTTGAAACAGTATGGGCTAACATGGATGCATGTGAAAAGTACAGCAGAGGATAGAAGCAAGTGGAGACGTGCAGTTGAAGCCTATGTTCCACTAGTAACCCAAGGGGACAACAACAACAAGTCAATATATGATGGTATACAGTCTAGGAGAGAAATAGGTAATAATTACACGGTTAACTGGAATTTCCAAGTAAATATAAATATTGTGATTAGATTGTTCAGGTAGGATTTTCCAAACATTTCTTGCATTACAAAGTGTACTGTTGAAAAGTCTTTCAAATTAGAATGTCTGTCTGTTTTCGACATAGAACTTTGCACCTATGTGCACCAGTTCAAGTCGCTATACTCCCCCTTGTCTGTCTGTTTGTCTGGATTCAACATAGAACTTGGCACCGAAGTGCAGCAGTTCGAGTTGCCACGTTCCAAATAGCACACAGAGGTAGACAAGAAGATGAGTGAAGAGAATTAATAGAGTTTGACAAGTATAAGAGTGAAACAGAATGGGTAATGGTAGAAAGGAATATGAAAGATTACAGAGACTGAATACATCTGCGCGCCATTGACAACGATTTTGAGCCATGTCACCTATTGTCTCCAGCCATTGATTCCTAGAGTCCCGAGGGCCCCAACCCGGGAGTCTGCATCTCCCTACCTGACTCAGTTTAACTGTCAAGGATTTCATGGATTGATGCCATGTTTTTGTTTGGCCACCACTGGCTCTTTTCCAACCTGAACCTATATCAGCTAGCAATGCCCGTCGGGGGAGGCGGTGGTTAGGCATGCGCAGCACGTGACCTAGCCATCTTAGTCTATGTAACTTTATAGCCTCGTCGATTGATTTTCCCTCTTTGCCCAACACTCTACGCCTAACGTCAACATTACTTACCTTATTAAACCACCTAACGTGAGACAGAGATCGCAGACATCTATGATCGAAAGCAGTCAACCTTTTCATGTCTTCAACGCGTATTGGCCATGTTTCAGAGCCATAGAGAAGGACGGAGCGAACTGATGAGCAGTACACACGTCCCTTGGTTGATAACCGGATGTCACGCCTACGCCAGAGATGGTGTAAGTCAGCGAAAGCAGCTCGAGCTTTTCGGATCCGTGCTGAGATTTCATCGCCAATCAGTCCGTTGGTGCTAATACAACTTCCCAAGTAGGTGAAGTGGTCAACATGTTCTATCACTTCACTCCCTATCACTAAGTTAGGGGTTGACGTGGTCCAGTCCTGTAGCAGCATCTTACATTTTGCAGGGGCGAATCGCATGCCAAACATACGAAGATTGCTGCTCAAGGTGTTCAGAAGACTCTGCATTTTGTCAGCATCCTCCCCTAACAGGACTATGTCATCTGCATATTCTAAGTCCATAAGATTATTCCCTGGTAACAAGTCGATTCCTAAGTCACTACGTTCAGTTAAGGATACTTCCATTAGCATATCTATGATGAAGTTAAACAGAAATGGGGAAAGTGGACATCCCTGTCGGACACCACTGGTTGTTACCAATTCAGATGACAATTCCCCATAAGCCCTTACACGACTACGTGAGTTTGAATAGAGTGCCTTGATTAGTGCAATGTACTTTCTTGGCACTCCCTTCACAGTCAGACATTGCCATAGTACCTTTCGATCCACGGAGTCGAAGGCCGCCTTCAAGTCAAGAAATATGACAATTGTTGGACGCCGAAAAGTGTGTCTATGTTCTAGAATCTGTCGAAGAGTGAAGATATGATCTATGCACCCTCTACCTGGTCTAAAGCCTGCTTGATTTTCCCTTGTCTGTTCCTCCCGAGTTCTGCTTAGTCTATGCATGATTACTGAGCCTAGGATTTTAGAGACTATGTTCGTTAGGCTGATCCCCCTATGATTATCACACGAGGACTTGTTTCCCTTCTTGAATATCGACTCCCTTGTAGCACACAGAGCAAGAAAGGAAAGCAATTTTTTTTTTGCATAATAGAGACAGTAAACACAGCTGTGAGATATAGGAATAGTAATAACGAAGAACAACAGGGTTTCATTGGGTATTATAAGTCACAAGGAGTGGATGCTTCTGCGCCAGCCATTGAGAACGATTTTGAGCCATGTCACCAATTGTTTCCAACCATTGGTTTTTACCATCCCGAGGACAAAAACCACGAAGTCTACACCTTCCTACGTGGCTGGCTTAAACTAACTATTGTGGATTTCATTGACTGATGAGGTCATGTTTTGGTTTGACCGCCACTAGCTCTTTTCCAGCCTGATCAATCCTATGTCAGCTAACATTGCCAATTGTCGAGGAAGGCGACGGATGACTAGGCATGAGTAACACATGTCTTTACCATCTCAGTCGATGTGCCTTCACAGCCTCGTCGGCCGATTTCCTCTCCTTACCTAGCACTCGACGCCTAACCTCAGTATTGCTTACCTTACTATACCACTTCACACGGGCGATAGGACGCAGGCATCTATGATCAAAGACAGCTAGCTGGCCTTTTCATGTCTTCCACTCTCAAAGGTCATATCTCACTCACTTGCATAAAGGAGGACGGAGCAGACTGCTGAGCAGTACACACGCCCTTTGGTCGACAGCCAGCCGGATATCACGTCTACGCTAGAGACGGCGTGAACTGGCATTTGCGAAACTAGCCCTTTGTATCCGTACTGAGATTTTGTCAGGCTGATGGTACTTCCCAAATAAGTTAAGCGGTCAACGTGCTCTACCACCTCACTGCCTATGTCTAAACTAGCAGTCAGTGTAGTCCAGTCCTGTAACATCATCTTACATTTGGCAGCAGCGAATCGCATGCCAAACATTCGAAGATTGCTCACTGCTCAAGGTGTTCAAAAGACTCTGCATTTTGTCAAACTAGAATGAAACAGTTGATGTTTGCGACCTTTAATGGACTTAAAAATCAAACAATTAAGTCATACAGACTTACGCCAAGTATAAATGTGAAATAAACCAAGAGAAACAAACAAGTGAACAAACGCACAAAAAAAAGAAGGCCATGAACTTACCGATGGATATAGTGAAATATTATGAGCTAGAGCTAAACCAACTAATTTATGCTCTGATAATAAATTCCGTGTACAGCAATTATTCACCGACGATGCTATTGATGCTATTGATGATCTACGTGATGATGATCCATCGGTTAAACAGCCTCCGATATCATCATTCAGCAGAGTTAAACTGATTTCTATGATACTATTAATATCCAATTTCATATCATCGTCTTTCATGATAGCCCAGTCGGCTGACAGACCAAGACAATTACACAGCTAAAATAGAAAGAAAGAAAGAAAGAGAGAGAAATAGATTGTTGGTCACGGATTGAGAGCATTTACAGAACCATTAAAAACTAAGGAGCACTGGATAGCTGTTTTGTCCTAGTCTAAGACTCCTCATTTCGTAGTACATTACTCATGACGACACTGGGAATTGAACACAGGGTTTTCAGGTGATTCTGTTAACCATTTAGTCACTAGGAAAGAATACAGTGACGGGCATATGAATTCTACCTTCTGTCAATTCGCGATTTCTCGTAAAATTAAAAAAAAATATTGACAGTAAGCGGGGATAAAGGTTGAGGTTAGGGTTAGTCCCTTAACGATGGTAATGACTCAATGCACTTGATAATGAACCACATGCTACTGTGTGTTACTACTTGGCTGCTCAAACCTCAGTAAGTGTGGAACGGGGTCCGAATCCATAACCCACTAGTAGTAGCATATCGAGCGCCTAGACTGTAAAGCCACAACTCCACACGATAGAAAATATCTAACTATAGTTTGCTTTTTTGAACTTGGCGACAATTAGTGCTAATAATAGGTGAAAACTAATGTGATACTAACTTATTACTCAAACTCTTGAAGACGTTAAAAAATAGAATTTACACTTGTGTTTGATTAGTCGTCAGAAGTTCAACTTCTTTATCAATGGATCCATGCTAGATATATCAGTTACGAGGAGGAGTTGATCCGAAAACTTATTCAAATATTTAATAGTATGGTATTACTTATATATATATATAAACGTACCAGTTTAGCAAGTGATGCTTCAATATCATAAAATTCATTAGTTTTCACGAACGGAATTTGAACTTGACTCAATTTGTGCAAATATCTTCTTGGATCAGTTAGCAAATTCATTAATATGTTTGGATCTTTCCATACTGCTAAACGAAATAGTTCACAAGATGCTCGACATTGATCTCCTGTAGTTAACTGATCTAATGCTGAAGACAATAATGGTAATATTAACAATAATAATAATAATAATAATAAATATGGTATGGAAGAAGTAATGGCTGTATACAAGTCAAGCTATCTCACCTTACGTCTAACACAATAAAATAGACATACATATATTCAAGGGTTGGTTTGCATGGATTTGATTGGTTTTAGGATTTCATCATGAGCTGACATCGATTAGAGAACCATTGGAAAACCACCTGAGAGAAGTGGTCTAAGAGCCCACCTTGTAACTGGAAAGTCGTGGGTTCGAACCCACCTCTGGCAGTGGGTGCATGCTGGTGAAGAGACCCCAACTCTGACGAAACATATGTCCAGTACTTCTAGGTTTCCCAGTGTTTCTCTAACCAATGTCAACTCATGATGAAATCCTGAAACACACAGATGTATCCAAACAAATTTGTAGACTTTATGAGGAAGAGAACATTTGTAAAATTGTCTAAAATAATCCAAGCGTATTTAGAATTCGAATAATTCAGCTGAAGAAGCTGTGGCTTATACAACGAGACGTTCGAAAAAATCTTGTTTTGATTTTTTTTTAACACACTAGGACTATTTGGTGCTTGGTGCTCAAATTTTTCCAAGAAATTCACAGTACCTATGGTCTGGCTATTTATGAAAATCACACTGGTTTAATTTCATTTCCAAATGAATAGTTTTTCCTTTTACCACATACTACTGACTGATTGATAGATATGAGTAGTTGGATACTACTACTCACAAACCAACCAGTAGTATTTATTAGTCAGCTAGATAGAAGTGATTAATGAAAACAAAACACGTAGATCAGCGAAGAGTCTCTTTTCGCCGGCGAATTCATTTTCTTAGCTGTACAATCGCAAATATATATGTGTTGTTTTGTATGTATGTGTACATTAAGTTTGTCAAACAGAAGTACATTTGGTTAAGGTTATTTTAACTAAGCAGGTGAAGATTGGTAATACAAGTCAAGAAAATTAAGTGTTAATGAAACTAGGGTAGCGAGCCTATAGTATTTTATGCATGTTGTGTTACCTGTCCACACAGTTTAACATATGAAATTTATGTTGTGCGTCGGTGGCACAGTGGTTAGGACTCTCGCCGACCATGCACATGGTCCGAGGTTCGATCCCCTCCCGACGCACACCTGATATCTATGGTCGGCCTGCAAAATTTCGGCTACCAACATCACATGCTGAAAATTCCATACTTGATCCGAAATACAGTGTGGAATCAAGCTGTAATCAAAAATAAAATTAAAAATAAAATAGTGAGAAGAACTTTGAAATGTGTCAATAGCAGATTTATACGCACAACTTTCATGTCTCCGGATAGATAAGTTAATGTTAAGCACAATCTGGAATCAGACTTGCAATTTGTAAATTACACAATTCGAAGTAATAGTTCACTAAGATCTCCTTTGGAATCTGAAAATATATTTAGATAACAATATGTGATATGCTTGATATCGTAATCGCTGATATAGTTACACCCTCTTCTGGTTCATAGCAAGGTAACTAATAGTAAATTAAGTAACCATATGCCTAAAAACCAATATTCTTTGAAAAATTAATGAGGTCGCTGCATATAAATTAGATTGAATTTTTTCTGTGACTTTTGATGATGAGATAACAGGCACATCCGGCTGACGAGTCCCAGGTAGGACGAAATGCGGATCCTGGATTCCACTGCTAGTCACCATCAATCAATTCATTTCGATGAGATGATACGTTTACCTATCTAAAAGTCAAAGACTGGGGAAATCTCACATAAATGTATAGTTAGTTTATATCCTGATAAACACGGATTCATATGCAATTGTTGAGCTGCGTTTAACATCAGAATTTTTGAGCTCAGATAACTGGAACAGATATTTCATGTACTAGGGTCATGAGCTACGCCTACTTTTTAAGGGCTAATGACACTACCCAGTTGCTCAGGTTGATGTAAGTGGAGGCAGAGTCGAACCTGGGACCCACTGAGTGAAAGTCAAACTCGTAAACCAATGAGTCATGATGTCACCACATCTGAATAGCGATGTCACATACTTTTATTAAGATTCTATACTCATTTATAATTGATATATTAACAAACGACCAATACAGACGAGCATTTAGAAACAAATAAATAAATAAATTTAAAAAAAAAATAAACAAATAAATATACCAAGTAGGATTGAACATTCTTGAGCACATTGTATTTCTGACTTCTCTTGCAGAAGTGCTTCAGATAATTTCGCAGCCAAAGTAGCTAAAACTGAATTGTCATCAGCTGGCCATAATAAGTAAAGACGATGTGGAAGAAGTTCTGATGAAACAGGTTCCTGAAATAGGCATTGTAGGAATTATTTTTTTTATTTTATTTAAACGCAGAAAAAACTTGGTACAATATGGCACCAAGAAACATGCGCCACACAATAATAATAAAACAACATAGATTAAAAGTAAAAATATAAGTAGAGAACGGATAAAGAACTCCATCTGGAGGGAAAACATTCATACTTAACAAGTTCAAACAGTATTCGTTAACTATCATCGGAAAGGGAGGAAGAAAGAAGGAAATTGTAACACGTTCGCCATTGACTACGAACCAGTAACGTCTCGAGCCATCGATTCGAGCTATCTCGCAGACCTCAACTAGGGAGTCGTGACACACCAATCGATGCTAATCTAGCACAAACATCCTTCATCCCACGACGCCACGTCATGGACTGACCACCCCTCCGCCTTTTCCATTCCGTCCCAGGGCTAGTGAACAGACATCTGTACGGAAGCCTCTGAGATGACATTCGCAGCACATGTCCAAGCCACCGGAGCCGGTGTTCCCAGATGACGACACTCAATAAATGGTGATCTCCACTGTGTTCAAACACACACCGCCGAACCTCAGAATTACTTACGCGGTGATGCCATCAAACGCAAGCAATCCTGCAGAGACAGCGATGATCGAACACGCAGAGTCGCCACACATCCTTAGCTCGGAGAGGCAAGGTTTCACAGGCGTAGAGCAAGACAGCCCGCACCGAAGCATTCTATATTCTACCGGAAAATAAGTAAACATGTCACAATTGCTGAATAATTTATCTCATACCATTTATATCCTCCAAACATGGGGAACATTTATCCATACAACTTTATACACAAATAACAGCCTCTTTTTTTTCTTTCTTAATTAAACTCAGTCGAATTAATAGCTATATAGGATACTGGAGTAGTGTGAACTGGTCTTCTGATAAATTCCCCAATGTTACCATCCATTGATAAAGCTGGCAGCAGCACAATTGCCCATAAACTCCCATATCCTCATCACATGATCTGTTCCATGTCAACCTCGAGCCTCCACCCAACTTGTCGTTCCCCAATCGAGGCTCTTCCTGTCACATGATGTCATCCGAAGGTTTCCTCAGCGTGTCCCATCCATCTCCATTATATATATATATATATATATATATATATATATGGGAAGCAATAGGGTTCTTTGTCGACTCGTTTCCAGAGTTTTTCGTTGACAATTCTTCCTCCCCGTCCATCTCATCTTCAGTAGGGAGTCATTGAAGGCAGATGTTGATAAAATTCTACAGTAGCCTGTTAGGGAGATGCTTTACATCACGTGCACACCAAGTTTCTGACCCATAGAGAAGAAGTGACCTAACATTAGTGTTAGAAATCTGAATTCCATTATTTATTTATTTTATTTTTGTTTACAGCTTGATTCCACACCGTATTTTTGGTACAAGTATGGAATTTTCAACATGGATATCGGTAGCCGGAATTTCGCAGGCCGATCATAGATATCAGATGTGCGTCGGCGTGGGCTCGAACCCCGGACCATGTGCATGGTCGGCGAGAGTTCTAACCACTGTGCCACCGACGCTGAACTGAAAAGATTTCCAAGGGGATCTCAGGGCGATGAACACATATATCAGCTTGTCTGGCTTAATTACATTTATATTTATTTAGTGAATGTAGGTTTTAGCAAGATAAGTCTTCAGTCCTGAGCTCTCAAGTTTCAGGAGCGGTAATGTTGATTTTACAGCATAGAGTTGCTAGTTCCACACACCCGAACTGCTCTCTCTCTTATCTGCCGCCTTAACCAGTTAGGTGGGGTTAAGGAGTATATCGGCTGGGAATTGAGCCTCGGACCACACACGCATCATTGGCGAGCATTCTACTACTCAACCATAGACGCACTAGCATGGTCTTACATAACATTAAATATACACAAATATATATTTATAAGTTTTCTTTCTTACCTTTCATCCATTATTACCATTATACATATAAATCTAAGGTCATATGTTAAGTGTAAATCGAAAAGGCACTGTGCCAGAGCTAAGTATTGTACTTATCCGGGACTCATCAACAAAACCTGAGAATACTTATATTCATATACACTTTGTGTTCAAACTTTCATACGACTAGTAACCTGATTCCTAAACCCAATATATACCGTCCCCAACCCTGATTTAGAGTGTAAGCCAATAACTCTATAGCATTCAAGAGCTGGTTTGTACGGATTTGATTTGTTTTTCGAATCCGATTACGGATTAATATCTGTTACAAAACCATTGAGAAACCACCAGGAAGTACTGGACAGTTGTTTCGTCCTAATCTGGGACTTATCGCCAGTACGCAGCCACTGGGACCTGTCTGTCCATTTATTTTCAACATAAAACTTTGCACCGATGTGCACCAGTTCAAGTCGCCACACTTCCTCCTTGTAGCACACAAAACAACAAAAGAAATTAGAAAAAATGCATAATAGAGACAGTAAACAGGGATATGAGACAAAGGAATAGTAGTAACGAAGAACAATATAGTTTCATTGGAAATCATAAATCACAAGGAGTGGATGCATCAGCGCCAGCCATTAAGAACGATTTTGAGCCATGTCACCAATTGTTTCCAACCATTGGTTTTTACCATCCCGAGGACAAAAACCACGAAGTCTACACCTTCCTACGTGGCTGGCTTAAACTAACTATTGTGGATTTCATTGACTGATGAGGTCATGTTTTGGTTTGACCGCCACTAGCTCTTTTCCAGCCTGATCAATCCTATGTCAGCTAACATTGCCAATTGTCGAGGAAGACGATGACTAGACATACGTAACAAATGTCCTAACCATTTCAATTGGAGCAACTTCACATACTCGCTGATTGATTTCCCCTCTTTACCTAGCACTCGACGCCTAACCTCAGTATTGCACACCTTATTATACCACTTCACACGGAAGATAGAACTCAGGCACCTATGATCAAAGATAACTAATCTTTTCATGTCTTCCACACGATCTCCACACGCCCAACTTGTCGTTTTCCATTCGGCTTCCACCTCAGCAATGGCCTGGTGTGTGATGTCAACCAACGGTTTCTTCAGCATATGTCCGATCCATCTCCATTTTCTTCTGTATATTTGTTGAGCAATAGATTCTCGGCTGGCTCGTTCCAGGAGTTCCTTATTTCTTATTCTTTCTGACCTGTCGTTTGACCTTCACTATGGAACCAGCAAAGATAGCTATTGATCAAAGTTTACACTGGCATGTCAGAAATGCTTTTCGTGAAGCACTTGCCAAGTTTCTGATCCACATAGAAGAATTCTCCTAATTTAATTTATCTTATTTGCATAGTTTGCGTCCTACCCTAATACTTATCTTTCAAATGGTGTGTAGAAGTAAGCTGTACAAACTTGGGAAGCTGAACAATGCTCCTCCTACTATACATTCTACATTGACAGTATTCGTGTGCATCTCATCTTTTGTTTTTATTTCTTTGCATTCTTGATGGAACGTAGGACCTCAGAAGTTTTTTTTGGGGGGAGGGGTTGCTAGCCTCACACCCAACCATCCTTCTTTGCCAGGCGGCCTACTACCAGCCAAGCAAGGTTTAGAAGTGCATCCCCGCCGGGAATCGAACCTTGGACCACGTACATGGTCGGTGAATATACTACCACTGCTGCATAAGATGTCTTTACTTTAAGGGAAAAATAAAGTTTAAAAAATGAAATGTTACTCAACAATCACTTGCATTTCCACTCATACACCACCACCACCTATTGTGTCAAAATCGGTGACACTACTTGCTTGACTGTCCAAAACACCGGAAGGTGAAGTGGGCTTCGAACCCGACAAGCCTAATCTAATCAGCCATAGCGGGGTGTTTACACTCTAAAACAAAAGTTTATAAAATTGGATAGTAGTAAGACAGACATTCTTGTGTAGCGTGATAAATACATCAAAATAATATAAAACATCACATGATTGCTATTTGTTAAGCCGTGTATGAAACGAGAAGAAAAAAAATAAAAGAATTGAGACATACTTTAGAAAATGTTATAAAACTGCATTCTCCTACATTTTAAAAGTTTTCTTAACTACATCAGAGGATAAAAAAAGTGTATACATATTCGATACAATAAAAGTGTCAAAATCAATAACGTCTTTTTATCTCATCTAGCACAGACCACTATTATTGTCACCTAAACACATAAACTACTATAGAAAAGTTAAAGAAAAGGATATCGGGGTAATACTTTCTATAGGCTTGATTAAACCTTGTTAACAGACAACAAGTGACGATTTCAGGTGTGATATTTTAAAGGTTGAAAATGAGTAAATTTATAGTGAAATAGACACATGATATGGGTGCGTACTGCTGAAGAGTCCCAAACTGGGACGAAACAGTTGTCCAGTACTCTCAGGTTTTCCAGTGGTTCTCTAAATAATATCAGCTCATGATGAAATCCTGAAACCAATCAAATCCCTACAAACCATCACTTGAATAAAATCTTTCGACAATTCACAGTGCCCTGTGATGGCGAGCAACCTAGTGGCATGGTGGCCACATCACAAAATTGAATGACTGATAGAATTCAGTCTGCACCAAAGATGGGACTAGACCACACACACACACACTACACTACACTAGTTACTGACTAGTGTCCCATCAAAAAAGTTACTCAATCTTTATACGAACTTTAGACTTGGCGCGTCATAAAGAGCACCTCAAACAAACTACAGACCTTCATTAACAGTTGTCTTCGCTCAATACTACTCAAGATCGGATGGCCGGTCAGAAAAGATGAGCAACAGAGATCTCTGGCTATGAGCGAACCAATCAGGAATCGATTGTGAAACAATAAAGCAGGAAGAAATGGAGATGGATTGGCTGGCCATACTCTGAGGAAACCATCAAGTGACATCACTAGACAAGCCATCGCTCGAGTGGAACCCGAAAGGGAAGCGGTGAGTTGGTCGTCAGTGCAAGGGTGACTTGGAGGAGGTCATGTGAAGAGGAGATGAAAGCATGTGGGCAGACTTGGAGTGGGGTGAAAACGTTGGCATAAAACCGAACGCAATGGAGATGCGCGGCTGAAGCCCTATGTTCCACTAGGAATTAAAGGAAATAATAATAATATATACGAACTTTGATCAACGCTTAACCAAATACTTAGTTCCACAATAACTGAGGCACCGAATGGAAAGTATACACACAAACAAAGATTATATTTGTTGAAATACATAATCTCAATATTTTATTCAGTAAACTGCTTCAAACATCATCAGGGGAGATAGTCAAAATTGAATGGGTATTTTAGTTTTGATTATTTCCATGATGAAGTTCAGACTAGTTTACCGAAAGAAACGCAGGAATCATTTATTTTAATTTCTCTTATGGTTTCCCACTGAAACCTCAAGGTCACTGCCTGAATAGGGCGAGTCGCTCAGCTCATGATGAAATCCTCCAACCAATCAAAATGTTTCACTCAAACATCACTACAGAAGGAAAAGCTAGGAAAGGGAAAAATACGAAGGCGTAAAGATTACATCATTATTAAATATAAAAGAAAAAAATAATAATTGGACAATAAAACGAAAGATTTGAAAAATCAATAGGATGAACGGAATGATAAGATATTTGATAATTACACATTGATAAGGTGTGGCTACATTTGTAGTAATCAATTGGTTTTTTTATTGACCAAATAACTATCAATTAACATTCTCTATTATTATAGACTCTAACCACCCCTAGAGATGTCCATAATTCCTTGAACAAAACAAAACCGACCAAATTAAAACTTTATCCATTCTGGTTAACCTGCAGATTCTTCTATATTGACAACACAGTGAAATGAGAGGTATTTTAGGCAGACACGCCTAGGTTAAAGTGTAACCTATGTGTGTGTGTGTCGGTTGCTTCGCACAAAAATGACATCATTGAAAAAATGAGTGATGAACAATTAATAATACAATAACACTATGTATACATTCAACATTTTTACCGGAGAAATCATTACAATGATGATTCCCAAAACTAGGATGAAACAGCTGGCTGTCCAGTACTCCAGTGCTGGTTTTCAATGCTTCTCTAACTGATATCAATCTGTGATCAACTCGTGAGAAACAAAACTAACCCTTACAAACCAAACTGTAGAAAATTATAATATATTATAAAAAGCATAGCAAGCAAATTACTTACATCAAAAAATATTGGTCGAAAATGCTTACGAATATAATTATAAGAGTGGCGATTTTTAGTGTCTGTTAAAAAAAGAAAAAAAAGGAAAAGCAATTCATCACAATATATAAAAATATTTTGTTGTTTAACCTACTTGCAGACTGTTGAATACTTTGTATTGATGATTTTGAATTGATTCCAACTGACAGGCTATTCATAGCTGAGCCTATAGATGCTCCAAATGGGGTGGACATAACTTCTCTAGGTAAATTTAGTATATAAGATGGAATATTTGTTGAAGTTAAATGATTTATAAAGTGATTGCTGAATGTGTTACAATTGTGTTCAAACAGGTTATAATCCCCAGGTCTGAAAAAAAAAACAAAAAGAAGTGAACAATGAAAAGAAAGTTTAGAAGTTTTTAATTGGTAGATGTTGACTAGCAGTGGGATCTAGGATGTGCATTTCAGCCTCGATGGGAGCATCACCACTCACTGAGAAATGCAGGTACATCCAGATGATGAGTCCCAAATGGTACGAAATGCGCATCCTGATGGATTCCAATGCTAGTCACCATCCACCAATTAAATACTAACTGCCCAGACATCGTCGAAGCATCTGCACAAGAAGCCGACATGTCAACCTGAGACCGAGCACTTCGGTTCAATCAATCGACGGGAAGATCTCAAATTCAATTAAAGTTTAGAAGTTGCCTATGAAGAAAGTAGAATCGTCATGCTTTTTTGTTTGTTTATTTGGACTCAATCACCCGGGACAGATTTTATATGTACCAGGCCTGAGGTCACACATCATATGAGGGAGACGACAATAATACCCAGGTTGAATTAGATGGGGGGGGGATTGGAAACCGTGACCCATTAGCTGGGAACTAAGTAGTGAAGCTTATGAGCCACATCTCCACACTTTTCACGTAGCTTATATACATAATGAGGTTTAAAAAAATACGTGCAACTTACTTGAACAGTGTACCAGACAACTGTTCCAAATATCTGAAAATTTCTGATTCTGTCAGATGAGTCCTTCCCATAAATCTTTTCTCCAGTGGACTACCCAAAGTAGTCGTGCACTGAAAGGAAATGTAAAGATGTATATAGAGGGGAAAATTCACTAAATAATAAGAGCATACATACCAGAGTAAAACGAAATAGAAAACAGCAAAACATTTGCTTAGAAACAAAACGCTTCCATACTACTTTGTTTATTAGATGTATCACACAGTGAAACAGTATTATTTACTGGATGACACATTTTCGAACAAAATTTATTGTTCATAATCATTTCACCAATTAGAATCACACGATTTCGAAACTTGAGTTTTATGGTTTTCTCTGTCTTCTCCTATTTGTCGTCCTTGGGGTAGCAGGATTCTCCAGATATCTGGGTGGATAGGTGTTGAATCATTCCTATTACACTTATTTGCAGTTGATTCGACAAACAAAGCTTCTGTTATCAACCCTCCCCTCCACCCTGAGACATTAGATTTTGAAACTGTCCTCTTACCCCCAACCTATTGTATGGTGGTGTGTAACTGCACTTAATGCTACAGCTGAATTATCCTCTAGATTTCTTGTCTTATTTGGGTCAACCAATCTAGATTTTGCTAGGTTTCTATGTTCGGCTAGTCTGAATGCCCCTGTTCTACTAGTTTGACCTATGTATTTGACCTGACAATCATTGCAGGCAGGGTATTAGATAAACTAAATTGTTTTGTTTTAAAGGCTCCACTGACAGTATCCTTTAACCGACAAAGCTTGTTTCTAATTGAGTTTGTGGGTTTGAACGCCAAACACTTTTATTTCTGCCTTGTTAAGAATTCTGCGTAAGGTTTCCGGGGTTCCTTCCTTTTATAGAATTACTACTGGTGATTTAGATTCCTTACTGTTGGTGTCGTCATTAATATTATTATTACCATCATTATTTTTATCACTATCGCTACTATCATTATTTATTTTATATTTACATTTCCTTACATATTTTTTCTGACTAATTTATGCGGGTAATTATTAAGGCTTCTTTTATGTGTCACTTCCTGTCTTAGATTTTCCTTAGTACTACTTAGTTTTTGTGTTCTGTTGCCTTAGTACCAAGGAAAATCTAAGACAAGATAAGAAAACTAGAGAATAGTTCTGCTGTAGCATTATTACGTGCAGTTACACACAACCATACAATAGGATAGGATAGGATGACAGTTTTAAAATCTAATGTCACGGGGTGTAGGGAGGGAGAGATTGATAACAGAAGCTTTCTTTGTCGAATCAACTGCAAACACGTGCAATAGGAATGATTCAACACCTGCCCACCCTGATATCTGGAAAATTCTACTACCCCTACGACAAACAGAAGACAAAGAAATCTATAAAACTCAAGTTTCAAAGTCGTGTGATTACAATTAATGAGATGATTATGAACAATAAATTTTGTTCGAAAATGTGTCATCCAGTAAATAATACTGTTTCACTGTGTGATATATCTAATAAACAAACTAATATGGAATTACTTACTACCACAGTGCCCAAGTTTCACACATATATTTAGAAAAAGGCTTGTTTAAATTAAGAGATTCGGAAAGTAGAACCTCCTCGCAGATATTCATCGGAACTAGTAGTATATAATTAGGGTTTTATTTTTCCTAAAACTGATCACGTTGACACTACTGCACTTTTTAATGTTGTAATGGAACTCATTTTCAAATATATATACGTTTATTACTGTTTATTACAGTGGGCGAGTAAGGTTTCGTGATCAATTTACGAGTAACTTGAACGAGTTTCTTATACTTCATCATGAGACATCAAGTAAACATGAGCTAATGAATATAATTAAATCATTATTGATATTTTTAGATAAAATCCTGAGACTTGGAAATACGGTATACACATAACTACATAAATCAATACTGTGAATTCAGCTAACAAAAATGCATTTATTTGGATGCTAACTTATGGAGATAATCAATCTAAGGACCTTGATAGTTTTCTCAATCAATATGGTGAGCAATGATATCATACTGTTGACTGTATAACACTTCGGGCATAATTTATTGCTCATTATTTCAGGGCTAACATACTACCTTCAGATTTGGTCGAAGCGAATGTCTCCTTCATCTTCACAAACAAGGACATGAACTTTAGGTTTGCCAAAACTGTCCACAGATATTGTAACACTTTTTAGCAAAGGGAGCAGCTGGATAAGAATGACAACTCCACCGAATATTTTCAGTAAAATATCAAAACAGGCAAAACATGTGAACGACAATATTCGGGCTAAAAGTAGAAACATTGATGCAAATATTAGAGGTGACTATTTAGGTAAGCCTTTGTGATTAATATAAAAATGCAGAAATTCCAATGCTAAAACATTTCGTCAACGCCTTCATTCGTCACATAATACAAGAGATACCAACCTTGCAAAAAAGAGGAAAAAACAACTATTTCATTTACAATCATACATACATATACATCCTCTATACAAACTTAAAAGGAGTGAGAACACTGGACCACTTACACTCCGCATTAAAGTTTTTTCCGTTGCTTTCAGATTTTGAGAGGGGTATGAGTAATTCAACGGAAACACATGATTAAACCTGTCCTTCTGTGTACACAGAAGTCAGCCTAGTCAACAGAGGTTTCCACATCACTAATAATAACCAAACTACCCAGACACTGGATTCGTTTTCTATCAGCTTTGCTGTCAGAATGTTTCTTCGTTCTACACGGCAATAAACTGTTAAGTTAATCAACTTATAATTCAAATGACATATGTAAGCTGGATTTTAATAGATATCTACGACGACTACTGTTAACCGCAGTCACAAAAATAATACAGCAAAATAAATCCCCTGAAAGATTATGAAATACATATGTGGATTCACATGATTTTTTATTTACCATAGACAACCCATAACAGTCTAAAAACTTGGATAGTAGATCTTCAAATGATTAAACCAGTATAGTTTTCGACAACAAAGTCATATAAGCCTGTATGTAAAACAATGTGTCCGGTGTATATGAATGTTTCTTACAGTTCAATAAGGCATAAACAACTCACTGGCTCACAATATTGAATTCCCGATTGGCAAAAGAAAAACTCCTTGTTATAAAGAACGGCTGCAGTGTGCCATATACCCTCTATTTGCTTCCCTGTATTACGAATTAGAACGAGTATAGTGCAAAAATACCGAGAAGCTGGGGACTGAGAATCCTGGCTAATCCACCAGAGAGATCGTAAATATACAAATAAACGTCTGACATAGCAAAATAATTTAAATTCGAGCCATATATTGTTCTCGATTTTAGACTATTCAATGTCCATCATTTATTTTCGAACTAGTACACATCGAATTTATTTCCTTAAGCTGCATTCATGGTGGTTAGATCAATAATCAATATTTAGAAAACAAATGTCCTAGAATAGATCCTATGGCAATCCAAAAGCCCAGGTGTGTCCGTATGATTGGACACGATTGACAACTAATTCCCTTCCATTGAGGGAATGCATGAACCAAAAGAGGTGTCAAGCTCCAAAAGCAGCGTAGTCTGTTTGATGAGGAGGGATACCATGCTGAATAGTCTCAATCTCCACGAAGAAAGACCACAATAATTGGGACATACATTTTCAAGTATCATGCAAAGTCACTCCATGCTGACAGTAGATATGTTGCACAATACCTACCACTTGTGGAACTGTATGGTTCTTCATACAATATGTTATTCTAATCACTGCGGTCTGTGATGTAGTTGCTAGCTTGTTCTACGACTATTTTTGTCAATACTAGCAGTAATGACGCAGATGTGTGTTTCCCTGATATCTACCCACAGAAACTGGGGAGTAGGTGGCTCACCACTCTAAGTCCCCAGTGTAATAGGGCTAGTAACATGAGGGACCTCAGTCAAACTGCTTACACTTTTTTGAAACAGACGGCTGGATGTCTTTGAGAATCTCGGATTTCATTTGTTCACGTTTCAGCAATTTGTGAGATTATTTAGAACGGATCATTTGTACTCTTGCTCTGCAATTCAATACGAAGTTGGGAGGTGTTCTACTTAGTGAAATCTCATGTTATAAGGTTCAACGTCACCATAGAATGGTCTCCGTCATCTAAATGGTCAAATAGTGAATGGTCGCCAGTCAAAATGAATTCCACTTCTGACGACATTTTCAATCAGTATAACCCTTCCAGTGGTGTGCAACAGATCTCCCAAAAAGGTTTCGTGAGTGGATAACCCTCCCACGCTTCCAAGTCAGCAACTAATGACGAACATTCTCACTTCGTGTGGTTGTGAAGCCAATCGAAGTATGGAGGTTACTTATAGAAGAAGTGGTTGTCGAAATAGCTGGTAGGTTCCAATGGGACCAGTCTATCAACGCCTTAGTTTTCCGGCCAAATTAAGCCACTGGCTTTTCAGCACAATATCTCTGTAATATCCTTAGGGTATCGGAATACGCACACCCTGGTTAGATGCTTCTGACAGACACAAGTCCAAACCACCAAGCCATGAATACCAATTTAGGGCATCTGAACACCGTATTCCAACAAGAAATATATAGTCATGATTGAAGTCAGAACAGTAACACGGCTAACCAGGAGCCGTTACAAATTATATATCATTTATGAGGCCTCATTCCTCCAAAAAGGAGTAAATGCAATCGAATATCTACCCTCTCAAGCGCATCCATAAGAAATGATCAAAATACTCAGTGAAAAAAGTGCCGACACCAAATATAGTTTGAATTTTGACGACCAGCTGAGCTATCATAGGCTTAACCTAGGTTATATCTATTTCTTTTATCAGCCCCTCCCTAATCTGGATATCGTAATGGGCATCGGTCCCACGAGGCAATATCGCGTATGCAGCATCTTTTTCCGCATTTATTCATCCATACCTTCACTCATTGATATGATTCATGTCAAAAAGGTGAATGCATCTCCACATCAAGTTCTCTCCTGACCGAAGCTGCAACTAAGAAATAATAATGTCGACAAACTGACAATTGCAACGAAACTGCTTTTACACTCTTACAAATGTCCCATTTCCCATTAGTTTGACTTGATTTTCACCTGAGGAAAACAATACACTACTGACTTAATCGGGAGATCACAGCATTATGTCGGCCATTGTCAGTAAAGACGATGTCTCTTCTGAATGTAACTACCACAACCGGTAGGTTCAGTGCCACTGAGACAATGAGGTGGGAAAACCGCGTTGCGAATTTATACAGAACCGCCCATGCCCTCAGTTTTACAACGTGTACTCCCTCTATCGAACTAACCTGAGCCCACTCATTGTTACACCACAAAGGCTGTAGGCGTATCAACTGAAAATATTTTGGCGAAGCATGTTTCGTCGACAGCTAGTTTCAAACAGTAGGTCGACAACTGAGACATTTCAGGACACCCGGCTAACAGCACAACTCTACACAGCCGAAGCGACCACAGTTTCTGGTTCCTATGGAGATGGCTTTACAAGTACTGCAGTATTAGTGTCAAGTGCTGTTTACATTGATGGAAGATTTGCCGCACTTACTCCCAAACACAAGCATAGAGGTGTTACAGAAAATAAAACCACGGATCGGGCTAAGCCAGCCGACACACAAGCCATATAAGGGACGCTACACGATGAAGAATTGAAACGAAACTGGAATTAGTTTGTTAAGCTGTCTTTGTCTCGACCTACAGCTTTGCAGCAGACAACCAGAACGACAGGAACTGTTTGGCCAGAATCAGTGGACCTGCTTGTGCTGCGAACTTGGGCTGGAGATCCAGTCTTCCACAGGAGTGGCCATTCTCCACTAGGTGAGGTACCCTCGTTAAGGCCAAGACTAGGCTCTCCTAGGGAAGTTGAGAATGTTCTCTTACTCTCTCAGGTCCCAGTGGTGAAGAAATTCTCGAAAAAAGGGGCGAGGTCTCACGGTGGTTAGGTGCGTGACGAGGTAGTCATCTAGAATTAGATCTTCCACCTGCAGAACCACACATGACATCCCGATTCTGAAAATAGTCACTCTTATGTAGAAACAAGCCCAAGATGTGACGAAACTTATGTGCCCATCCTTCAAAGTGGGGAGATTATTACAATATTTATCTGTATGTGACTTCGCCCCACCCAGCTGACGCAAATTAGCTTTCCACGGCTGGTCGTCATAAATGTCAGCTCCTCAGAAGACCCGGATAAAATGTTGTATCAATGGGGTGCATTTAAAAACTCGGAGTTAGTGGGAGTTACAAATCGACTTCTCCATCAAAATATTCATTCAAATTACTAACAGACACCTTGTGTTATTGTAGAAGTCTGATCCCACTTTTAAACCTTTATATTCAAAAGCGCGGCAGCGGACAAGTGAGCCAGAGAACCTAGTCAAACACACGGAAAGGCATTCGCCATTCAACAGACTCACACTCAGAAATAAACAAAACTGCTATCCAAAGCACACTGGATCCCATTTCTCTAAGGGATTCACTGAAGTGTCAGCAGGCCGCCACTGCCCCATTCTGACCCAACTCACGATACCAATTCGGACAATCTGCTGAAGTCTGAATATTTGGCGGGCCTTATGGCAAACGAAGTTACTGAGCGAACCACGTCCTCCTACAGCGTTTTTGCATACAGTTTTCCTGGTGGTGTGTTACTCAAAAAGTCAACGCCCTTGAGCGAGAGGTAAGACCTTAGCAAATTGACGACTAACCAGGCCTACAAAAAATTCGGGAAAGTTCTCCTGTTCTGTGCTGTTTAAGTTCAGTAGCTCCAGTGGTGCCAAGAGGTTTCGTGAGTCTAACAAGCTTATTAGCTAATCCACCCTTATAGACTTACTCATGTTCTGACGCCATGACAATGACGTTGCCCTGCAATTTTATCAAATGGATGCAGCGATCAATACCTGGGTAGGTTTAGGTTACATAAAATCGCATAACTTCCGGGAGAGGATCGCCAAACTCTGCATCGGTGATATGGGATTTTACCTGGTTCTGACCACCGAGCATGTGTTTTCTCATTCCCATATAATGAACCCTGCAGTATGTACAAAAAAGGAATGCAGTGTTCAAAGAAGTGGACAATTTCGCCACTAGCTGAAAGGCGTTTCACTGCCAATACAGCATTTTCTTAATAAATGCATGTAATAATAGTAATTTGTATTTCGTGCAAACGGGTTAGTTTACATGAAATGCATGTCATTTTTATAAGTGCGGTCAGATGTGTTATAAATAACGATCACGAAATATCATAAATCAGCACCTTTTCAAACATTTATATTTTTGAATCTTATTACAAGCAATCACAATAGATTCGCACAAATGTTAAACTGTAAACCCTTTGCTAAAGTCAGCATGAAAGTTGAGCGCCAACCCACACTTTGTTTCGTTTCCTGCTGATAGTTATGGTCAACTAATGGGCAACATATATGTGGGTAAGTGCTATACCTCCACATTTCAGGAGGAGAGGAACGTTCTGAGAAACTGCAAAATGGTACAAAATACAGTTACGGATAATGCGTCATTAAAAACACACAAGGAGGAGCTATAGAGTCCTTGGAATGATGTTATACGTATATACAGTTTATTGCAGAAGTGTAGGAAATTAAAGGTTTAAAACGCGTAAGATATAGAAGTGTTCGGTGTCAGGGTAAATTAGGTTATAGTGTGTAGGAGTGGTGAAACGAATGGTGGAACATTTGTTGATAATGGTGGACAGAATAACCCTGGGGGGAACAGCACATTGTCTGAGCTTATTATGTCAAATTTTCATGGCCACCTTTATATGGTATTTGTCAGATACTGCAAAGTACCCGTTTCTTTTGTTTTATGGAAAAAGTATTACGATTCAGTTTAAAAGTATATGTATTAGATTATTACAAGTAATCATATCGCTAGTAACCTGCTTAATTACTTGCTGATAAAACTTCAGATAAGCCAAAAAACTGCGTCTGGGGGGGTCTAAGTACAGAGGGAAAAATAGGAAGAGGCATGTCTCACGTCTTTATGTTACGACGGTTAGGGAAGATGAATTTTCTCAAGTCTGGGGTATCGTAATGCGGCCTGCAGCGGCACTAATAGTTAAACGGACTATGTAGATGAAGCACGGGTAAGTAGACCGTGGAATACTTGTTGATACGAACTCACCTAGGAGGCGTTGAAATTCCATGGGAGACTGGCAACCAAGTAACTCAAGTTAAAGTTCGTTCCACAAGGCGCTACGCTATATTTTGAAGAACCTTCAACGCATTCTTGTCCGATATGAGGCTATGGATAAGGTGTGTA